GGGAATCTCCCGCGTCTTGCATGCCTTGTATTCTTGTTTCTTGCGTTTTTTTGACAAGTTGCTCTGAGTGAATCCCTCCGTCCGCTCGTTGTTGCGGTTGTGTGGTGGGCAGATTGCGTTGCGCTGGTCCGGCAAAAAAAGGTATGAAACTGGCCTGAAAAGGCCGCCTCAGAGCAGAAGGAAATCGCCCCCGATCCAGATGGCCCTCGCGCGTTCGCCGTATACCCCCCCTCCCCCCCCCCTCCAAAAAAAAAGTTCTATTCTTGTGACTTTAATCAACCCCAAAAAGGGAACCTGGGCTGGATGGTCCCCACCTGCGCATGATAAGCCCTATTTGTCATCAATTCGGACACTGAGTATCTAGGTTGTTACCCGCTACTTGACCAATGGAACTAACTCTCGGCTTCTTGGCATTCCTGCTAAGAATCTCTTTTTCTGCTTTTTCTTCGGTTGTGGCTGCGAAGCTCCATTGCGCATTTGAATACTCCGCATCGTCAGACAATGTTGATACATCAGAGTCGTCCATGATAGGAGCTGCCTCGGAAGCTGTCTGGCTATGAGATGTTGAATGAAGAAGCTGAGATTGAGCCGTTGAGTTTGTTTCATTTGCTGTCCTAATAAATTCGTCCCTCTTTTCCTTTGCCCAGTCCCGACCATTTCGATATGCGCATGCTCCTTGCTGAAAGGTCCCCAGGTCACTGGTCATCGACCAGCCTTTGAGCTGGGTCATAATATACTCAGGGCGACTGCCTGGGCCTTCAGGCTCAGCGAGATGAGTTGTATATAGCTTGAGTGTACCGCCATGATAAGTCGACGTAAGAGTGTAAGCACTGTTGTCGTAAGTTGATCCGTCTTGTTGATATGACTGGAGAGCGTGCATACCCCGAGCGCCTAGTGCGCCATCATAGCAAGCCTGCCGTGTAGCTACAGCCAAGGATACATCAGGGCCTTTTGCTTCCAAAAAGAAGTTTGGTACCATTGGAAGGTCATCTTGCGTTGATGGAATGATATGGTCACTAAGTTTGTTGCGGATTTGACGATCAAGCTGTTCAGGACGCGCGCCGTAGAAGTGATCTGGTTTGGCCTGAGCCAGTGTGCCATCAGTTAAAGGAGCAAGATTTCCAAAGAGGTAATCCCCTCCAACACACTTAGCGTCACCAACATCGCCATCAAGAATGGGTACAACCGAACTTGTAATTGGTTTCTCCTTAGATGCATATGCGTCTGCTTCTCGGAAGTCTTCAAAGCGATCTTCAGAAAACTTTGAGGGCGAAAGTGAAGCTCTTGGTTGTGCTAGTCTTTCATTGATCTCCGTCCAGTTACTCGGTTTTGATGGCTTGCGACGGTCCGGATACCTATATTCCGGTGGATAGACTCCATGATCGATTAGGTGCTGCTGGAAGTTCCGACTATAGGCTGTGGTGCTTGTGGACTTCGTGGTGCCCTTAGTATCACCAGTTTGTGATGATGGAGGAGATTCTGCGCGCCGCTTTCTACTACGAGACCTTGATTTGTTTGAGTTCATTGGTTGATCGCGGAAATTTTCGGGTTTGGGATACTGGGTTAAAATCGTAAGCACGGATATGTGTGCGTGGATTTGCAGTTACATACATTTCTAAGGTCGGACAGGTCAGGTCCTCCCAGTCTTGAAATCCTCTTTATCTGCTTTAAACAACTGGGGGCAGAATCGTGGAGAAAGTCAGGAGCAAACTGAACAGGTTCACGGCCTTTGTTGAGCTCAGCGAGATATCGTCGAGTTATAAACCTATGGGTTGGTCTCGGGCGACTGTTTCTTCGGTCCAGCTCTTTTAGTGCTTCTTTGGTTAACCAAATCTTTGACAGGTTATCCCAATACGCTGATGCTGAATCGCTGAGCTTCTGCCTTTTCAACTGATATCGCGAAGTGTTGTAATGTGACCCAGGATGCTGACGCTTGCGGGATGGGCTGAAGGTCGCTGACCAAGGCATATGGTGATGAATCTTTTTGGTATCTCTATAGTGCAGTATGCTCCGAGGACCGAAAGAGCAAGGAGTTCTTATAATCGCATCGCAGAATTATTTCATGTGCTTATCCGGAAATGATTGCTGGGGCCAACTGTCGGCTGTTGAAAACGTGAGGCATGCCTGGGAGACAGCAGCAGTCCTGGATAGATGCTCCTGTAACACGTGGTGTCGAGGCTGCTGGGTGCGGTGCGTCCCCGGACTGGACCGGACCGGACCGGACCAAATATGAATCATATCCACTCATTAATTAATCCACGCTTACCCACCTCAACCAACAGTCAAAGACCCCAAACCTCCGACACCCACAATTGATCGGCCAAATCACTTCTTATCGTGTTCGTCATACAAGCAAGCAAAGATCCTCAACGGTCAGGAGTAACAGAGCCGCGCAGGAAGATCGGCGCCGCTGACGCCGATTCCAATGAAGTTCTAGCGGCCCTAGTATTAGAAGAAGGACGCCATGGCGGGGGCAGCACGTCCGGTTTCCAGGCAATTCTTCATTTCAAGTCTACTGTTTCAACTGGGGATCTACTACTTTCAAATCCTTATTTAGAGCCGAATGATCAAATACTTCTCCCGATCTCTTCAGTTGCCACTGATCACTTTATACCACACACCCGCATATCCGGATGGAAATTCACATAGTTTCAGCTGATGATGTTGGGGACACGGCGAAGCTGGAAGAGAAAGCTGCAAGTCTGGTAGGTGAAGCCCAAAAACTGATTTGAAGTAATAATTTGCTAAGTATATTATAGGCTGGGGAGAACGTTGTTTTAGATTCTTCTCAAACCATTGGCAAAAACTTCCAAACGGTTGACTCATCGGTTCGTGCTATACTTATCATCAAGAAAAGCGCTGAAGGAGCTGTTAGAGTGTTTGGGAAAGACATAAGAAATGTGGTCACTGGTCCGAATGAAGATGGATTCGTTATTGTTGCTGTAAAGGAGGGAGAGACTTGCAGGTTGCTAGGAACACCTACGATCCGATACTTTCGCTGCTTAAGGTCCTGAAATCTACCGGGGATCATTGGGAGCCGTTAGGAGGTTGCGAAAGAAACGGCTTTCGTCCGCGGTCAGTGCCATTAGGTTCATTACGAGCAGTGTCGTCCTGGTACATTTTGTTCTGGCATGCGTGGTTCCAGCATGTATTGAATTAATAATTCACTTAATCGGAGAGAAAACTGCAACGTTCCACTTAATCCAAGAGTTGATCCCAAGCCAATTTCAATAGATGGTAGCGGTACGCCAATGTATGGACATCTCATCTCTAAGTTGACATCGTTTGCCTGGTACTGCTGCAAAAAGCTGAGAAGACTGCTGAGTGTGAGATTTAAGACCTGTCCGCTGGGATGGATCTCCGCATTAGATGTACCGGTGATGTTAGCATCAGGACTCAACGCCTTAGCTATAAATGCTATTAGCCTCGACTGGCAAGTGTAAAGGTGTTTTGAGACCTTACTTATCGTGCCTCGGCGATGTGTTGATGGGGAACTCTCAAACCTCGTACTTCTCTCTCCAGAAGTAATCTCTTGAAAGGTGGGATAATCCTCTTCAATACGTCTCCGCTTTCTATGCTGTAAGTCCTCCGTACCCACAATGGGCCATGGGGAAACGCTTTCGATTTTGGAAGGCAGATTCGGGACTGGCTCTTGCTCTTGGGAGTATCAGTATCAGGAGATAACGGTAATAAAAAGTGGGTTACATACCACTTATGTTGGCAATTCTCGAAATTTTACGTTTTCGACAGGAAGAAACCAGCGCAGCAATAGAATATGTGGAGCAAAGTTCCGCGGCAGTAAGACTTAAAGCATTTGGTCGCGGAGCAGACTTCCACCAGAGCCGAAGCTTTGGGACGAGCTCCCTAGATGTTTCTGTACTCAATATCGACATTGGTGCTGCTAGAGTGCCTAGAAGATAGACTTCGGCGCCGATGGTCAGAAAAATATCTGTTAGGTTATTGCACAGTCGCTGCCGCTCGCCGCGGCGCTGTTTTGTACGCTTCGCGAGAGACATTTCGTCCTCTCGTAATATTTCGTAGTACGTAGTAAATCCATCAATTTGGTAGGAAAGCAACGGACAAGGAGTATCACCAAATG